ATTCAGTGTGCAAGGACCTTTCCTTTCGTCGATCTAAAACAGCTAACAGCTGTCAACTATGGAGGATGAAACCTGCAAAAACAATAAATACACAAATAAATAAATAAAGGTGTGTATAAATACACAAATTCTTGTTTAAATACATACAGAAATAATTAAACATGTGATTAAAGTAGGCAAATCAATAAAATGAATTGGTGGGCAAATGGAAAATGTTTAAGGAAATGCTAAACTCATCCTATTTATTTTCCTTTGATCACTCATTTATTTCTGAATGTAGTTCCACATTTATTTTTCCTCTGCACAACATGCTAATGAGAGGGTGTCAACCATGGACTTGGGTCATGTGATAGCTGGGGGCGCGGCTTTCCCGCTGACAGGAGATGCATGGTGTAAATCCAGTCCATACAGTATCTGTGACTTTACAGAAGACCCAGTGTCGTTTCCTGACGTCATTTTTTGTAACCCGATTAAGTCTCCAGCTAGAGACAACTGTAATATCAGTATCCCATGGTCATCGTGAGAATATTCACTTTATCCGTGGAATAAGGGGTCGTTCTTTTGATGGCAGCTAGTGTTTATTAGGATGGTTTTACCTGCTCGTTGTTTAGGTACGTGTAAGATCATTTTTATGCTCTTCTACAAGCAAGTCGATCTGCAGCAATCTCTCTCTCTTTACGGCGGGAGAACCAAATTAGTGACATACACAACACAAGGGTACATCTCAGTTGATCCTCAATGTATTATTGTACAAACAGAGGCTCATATACATCCTTGAGAACTGGTATGAAGTGGTTTAATCGAGAAACACAGTTTTTTCCCATTAGTTATCAGAACAGAAAATACAGGCGACAAAAGTATGTTTATTAAGTAAATAACGGTTCAGTATTGCAATTAAGAGCTATGTATGTTAAGACTTAAAATCTTTTATGATTTAGCTCTCTCATGATTATAACTACAAAACTAACCCTATGAAAAAGTGTAAGATAATAATCAGTCCCCTTGACTGATGAAGTTAATACGCATGCGCAGGCAAACGCTCAAGATGCGCCTACTCTTGCATACTTGACACCCTCTCATTAGCATGTTGCGCAGGGGAAAAAATAAACGTGGAACTACATTCAGAAATAATTGATTGATCAAAGGAAAATAGTTAGGATGAGTTTAGCATTTCCTTAAACGTTTTCCATTTGCCCAGCAATTTATTTTATTTATTTGCCTACTTTAATCACATGTTTAATTATTTATTTATGCATTTAAACAAGAATACGTGTATTTATGCACACATTTATTTGTGTATTTATTCATTTATTGTTTTTGCCGGTTTCGTCCTCCACAGTCAACCACGTCGGTACGCAAATGAGCGTTCTGAACTTTGCATTTTTGGTTGCGCATGCGCACCACTTATGTGCATCATTGATTATTATAAAAAAAAACTTACTAAAATGACCAAAAAAACCTTCAACGTCGACTTTTTTTACCTTTCGATCTAACAAAAGAGCTTCGCCACCTACTTAACCTCAAAAATCACCTCAATACTTCATTATTTCATCACTTAGATTTGCTTTGTCATCTTTACTGGCGCTGAATTGCTCAAACAAAGCGCATGTCAAGCGGTTTGACTCTATAATGATGCT